ATGAGCTTTTAAGAAGGACATACTTGGGATTTCCCACAAAATGCTCTAGGACATTACCTGAATGGGGTTTTCAAAGAGGATGGAACTGGACTGGTCTCAGTGGGGGGCAGATGATAGGACAAGGAGCAATGAGCTCAAGCTGCAGCAAGGGAAGTTTAGGTTAGATATGAGGAAAATCTCTCTTACAAGGAGGGTGATGAAGCACTGGAAGGGGATCCCCAGAGAGGTGGTGGAGTCTCCATCTTTGGAGGTTAAAACCTGGCTAGACAAAGCCTTGGCTGGGATGATGTAGTTGGGGCTGGTCCTGTTTGGAGCAGGGGTGGGCCAGATGTGACCTCCTGAGGTCCCTTCCAGCCCTCATTTTCTATGAAATTACTACTGCCAAAATACAAGCATGAAGAATTCAGTCACTCTTCTATACCCTATTTGTAAGGGCAATGTTCCCTCCCATAGCTACATATGCCAAATTGCTACTCAAGCATTGCTGCTTCAGAACAGTGTGTCAGTCACAAAATTCTGAGACATTTTTTCTGCTATAAGCCACTTTTACTGTTCTATTTATGAGACTTGGAAAAAACTGACATTCCACGGCTTCAGAATGCTGTGAATTGTGAGCTTTTCCAATTGAGAGTTTCCACAGCCAATGCATATTGGAAAGTTATACACTAATTTCCAGTTTATTTCATATTCCCAGAAATTGTAGTTTGTAAATTAAATGGAACATTTTCCATACCTTTGTACCCATATGTGGATTTAGGTGGGTGCACATGGTGAGATGTATTATCACATATAACACAACACACTTTTTTCCCAGGTAAAAATAAACTAGAAGCTTTACTAACGGAGTTACGGACCTGCAGCTATATTTTTCAGTTTAAGATTGATGAAAAAAAAACAAATTAACTTTATTGGAATGAGTTAAAAAGAGGCAGTAAGACTGCGAAATAGGAGCTATATTAGCAGGAATAGCTAACAAACAGCAGAGTTGCAGAAAAAAAAGTTAGCTTGGTTAGTGAAACAACAAGACCATTAAAAAAGAGACAGGGTCATTGACACCTATGGAATAAAGAGTTTAGAAGGAATCATATGGATTTTAATGAGACATGAATTCAACTGACTCCCTCACTGATGCCTGGATAGAAATGTCACTGCCCCTCCCAGGCACTTGGTTTTAAATTTTGGGTGGAGAAGAAATTAAAGGGGGGGGGGGTGCAGCTGCCACCCCCAATCCACCCGTTTGTACTCAAATCTCAAAAGGAACATGAAAAACAGTTTAATGAATGTGGGACAAAACCCTCCTTCCCTTTCCAGTTTTAATCAATTCATGTTCAGAAAGCAGATAATGTCTCCACTCCAAGCCTCCTTACCTCTTACACATCCAGTATGATGCACACAAGAAGAGAGGGAAGTAAAGTAGCAGTAAAGAGGACAAAAAGTAGGAAGTAGTAGGTTAAGTGCAACATGGTCTCTTCAAACACATTAAGACGACTTCAGCAGTATTGACCAGTTCTCACCACACCAGAAATGGCCAAGCTTTACACCCAGCTCAAACACAACCTCCCTTTCAAAAAGTTACTCTGTTTCTTTGCCTCACTACTCCCCTCATTCAGAAAGCAGGGTTAATAACACTTACCAATCACTAAGGGTGCTCTGAGAAGTAGGGTACACACAAAACGTAGGGAGTTGAAAAGTGGTTTCTTGGTACCTGTTCATCCACCTGGTCTCACCCCACAGCAAGATGAACCTAAACTAAAGCAGTTTAACTGTTCCACTGATGGCTACTTGCCCTAGTGTCACCTTTACTTGCCATGCAGTAAGAGCAGACAGATGGACAGGTCCCATGCAACAAATGCCTGCTCCCTGCAATTTCACTGTTTGCCCCATTAGTCAGTCAAGTGACTCTGAAGGGATAAAGCTATGCAAGTGCCGAGTATTGACAATATCCCCTAGGTAAAACCCTTAAGAGCTTATCACTCCTTCCTGCCCCAAATAATGAAGTGAAACATGTGGATGAGTGCTCCCCTTAACAAGGGTACCAAATTTAATGGGAGCATCTCAGAAAACTTGCATATTTTACTTCTCACTCTGTGGAATCAAAGAGCCGTGTAACTAAATGGTAGATAATATCTACTGCACAAACTGGCAACCAGGTTACAGCCACTCCTGTCACTGACATTTAAGTCTGCCAATGTCTGACAAAAGGTGAGATTGTGCAAATGAGAAGCTAGCACAAGAGGACAACCAGATGCAGACTTAACAGATGAAGGGACACATGAAGCACACTGCTGGGCAACCTACAATTTTACTACAGTACCCTACAGGAATGTAGAGTGAAAATGCTTAGCAAGAAAAATGCAAAGAAAACTACATTCGGGTTTTTTTGTGAAAAGTGAGAAACTGCCCACAAGGAGAGCTGGCCAGATTTACAGCTCTGCTTATACGTATCAGTGCCAAGCTTTCAGGGGCAGGGGGTCGGACACGATGATCCTTTGTGGTCCCTTCCAACTCTACAATCTATGAATCTGTGAATCTATGCTATTCAGACACCCAGCAATTCACAACAATCCTGTGGGAGAGGTGGTGTTTGCCAGACATGCTCAGAGCTACTCTCACACCTCCAGGTTTTGAGTGGTGCTCTATTCCAACACATGCTCATCTGAGGAGTGGAAAAGGTGGCAGGGGAGATGGATAGAGCTGTGAACCCAACCGTCACCAAATTCATTCTCCTGATCCTTCCACACACCAGAACCATAGCATCTGGCTCCTTACTTTCATCTAGCAGAGGAGCAGTTTTCCTGAAGACTTGTCTATCTGCTTTCTGCTACTTTTCCATCAAGCTGCAGTAAAGTCTCTAGTGAAGATACTCGCAGAATCCAGCCCCTCTGCATACAGGGATTCATCAACCTGTCTTATGATTCATGAGATCTGGACACAGGTGCCACAAGGGTCACACCAAATTGTAAGGATGAACAGGCAGGCAGCCAGAATGGTAAGAAGAGAGAGAAGCAAACGTGGGAGATACTAAGACCATTCAAGCTAACGTGCCAGCTGAGTGCCACGCTGCGATTTGCCCCCCACACCAGAACTCACAAGATGTCATGGCTACTCCTGACCTTCCACATCCAATTCATACTAGCTGCACTTATGTTTGGTGGTCTTTACAGTGGAGCCTAATCCCTCCTTCGCTTTCTGCTATGACCTCTCTCAATACTGCCCTCTTCCTTTATTTCCTCCCCCTCACCCCCGTATCAGTTTTTCCCCTCATCTTTGCACACTTTATACCTGAAATGCCTTCCCACCCTTTGTTCCTAAGCAACCTCCCTTTGTTCAAACTTTCTAAAACCTCGCTCCTTAGAAAAGGCTTAATGGCAAACAGTCTTTATTTAATGTCCCCCATAGACAGTTCATTTCAAATGGAACCTGTGGACTATCCTCAGAGTCTGACTAGATTTTTAAACTCTTTAAGACAAAAGCCAAGGATCCCAGGTTTGTAAGGGGGCCCTGCACACCTCTGGCACTTAAAATGATAGGGAAGGAGGTTTAGTAGCTTTCCAACTCATCAGGAAAAAAAATGAGAAAGAAGCCTGGAGGGAGAACTCAACACAATACTCCTTGCTCCCTGCAAGCAAGAATGAAGTAACTTCTGGAAGCTCATAATTTTGTATGGGGAAAAATGAAATCTGCCACGGTGCTGCAATCTTGGCATTTTGTCCTTTTTCTCTACTTGACTAAATCTGTCACAGGTCCAGGGAAGGAATAAGTTACACAAAGAGCAAGGGAAAAAACTGCAGCAACTTGTCTATGGAGAGGCAAAAAATGGAATGAAAAACAGAGGAGAAGCAAAACTCTAGTCTGGCAAATGGCTCGTCTCTGTTGCCAGTCAGGCTGGTAAGAAAGGACGACCAGCCTCAAGCTTCTAAGTCTGTGTTCAGTTCCAGCAGCATATGCACAGAGCCATATATTTCCACACAGAAGTGGGGGAAATGTTTTCCAAGAGGGAATATAACATCTGAAGGAAAGGACATTCTACTTCTACACTCATAAAAGCATTTTACAAGTATAAATGAACACATCTGTAAAAACAAATGTCCATCCCTTAAAATATTATGAAAAAGTTGTTTTGTTTTTTTTTAACATATTATTCTAACAATTTGTTTGCTGAAAAAAACTGGTCAGTCACACTTCAGTTTCCAACACTTACTGTGTGATAATTGGTCATTTCCTGTAGGGTCTCAGAAAACTTCATCAGGCTGTTCTGTAAAAGAAGGAAAACAAGTGGGTAAAGCCAAATCCCATGAGATACGGATCAAAATATAAACCTTCAAAAAGCTATAGTTTCTCTCTTATACCAAGGAAAATAGTCTATTTTTATGAGACAGCCTAAAGTCATATTCCTAGAGATGGATCATGAAACTATATTCAGTATACCAAGAGAAAGATGTGTACTTTCTTTGATGATAATATAAATTTCTAACAACAACATCTTCACCTAAAATTACAAAACAATAGAAAAAAAGATTGCTGCTTTAAAACATAAAGGACAAGTTCCCCAGCTGATCAATACAAGTCCATTTGATTGGGATATAGCAATTTACAGCATCAGAGAATCTGGCCTGAAAACCGTACTCACTGATATCACTGCATTTTTCATGAATAGTAAATAGCAGCAATTATCACAATTTAAGAACAAAATCATGTTCCACTTTCTTCTATTTCCTTCATAACTTCAAAAATGTCTTGCATGAACCTCTACAATGTCTTCATGGGAAGCCTTTAATAAAGCAGCAAACCCAACCCTTTTTGAGCAACTGTCTAAAGAGATTAGCAAAGAATCTTAACAAATGCTATCAGGAACCAAACCTTTTCATATTTCTAGTGAATAAAATTAGACTGGATTTTCACTGGAAACTAGCTAAAATAGATGCATTTTTAGCCAATCTCCAAAGAAAAATTCAGCCAGTTTTCAAACTTCATCCTGTAAACATAAAGAAAGAAATTGTAACTTCATGAGTTAGCTGAAATAGCAAATAAATCTTTCTGTCTACAAAGAAGTAAGCGGGTGTGTGAAAACATAAATGGTTTGTGTATAACTTACACAGGGTTTACTTTAATAAATAAATAAATATGTACATGAAAAAGTATACATGTGAAATAGCAAATAAAGCAAAATTTGGTGGGTATGAGAAATATAAAGAGACATTTTCATATAGATTTCAAAACAAAAACCACATATTAGGTACAACTCGTACACATTTACTAAAAAGCATGTTAATATGAGACTATGCCACTGCTGCAATGGAGTCTGTGTGCTGAGAATTAGGCCAGAACAGCATTTTAGCTACAAAAAATATGTTTTACCCAAGAGCCATGATTCAAACTTACACTATTTTTTGGTGTTATTGTTGTCAAACCCAAGAGCAATAGGTCTGAGGCTGTTCAATAAATCAGCCTCCTCTTTCCCCCACATTTAGTAACACAGGAAGATTCATGGCAACTGTTTATCCTGCTTTCCAACCACCCAAGATAAGAGCCCCTTTTTATAAAGGATTTCTGCAGGAGATATGCCACAGCCCAGAGAAAAGAAAACCTCCTGATAAAGTGGCATGTGTCAATGGCTGGTAAACACATTAAAGGAGAAATAGCAAAAAAAAGAGCTATAATGTAAATGAATGAGATTACTTCTACACCTGCTCCCACTTGAGTAGAATTTTTTCCTCATTTTCACTCTAAAATGTGTCTCTCTCAAGTGCTTACCTCAACTAGTACATCCTTACTGGAATACTGTGCAAGGTCTCGAATCCCATTCATGAACTGATTGTTGGCAGCACAGAAAGCTTTGCCAGTATCAATCATTGCAATACAGAGCTTCACTAACTGAAAGAAAAAACAATAATTGCAGTCAAAGAGTTGTATATTCCTTTGTTCCCCACACTATGTCAATGAATTGCCTGTAAAAGAAAAATGCTTAGAAAAGCTTTATCTCTGTGCATCAGAAAGAACTACACTAATAAGGGCAGTAATAACTGTAACTTTACTCAACTAATAAGCCAAATTATTACAACAGAAGGCAAGATGCACTGGATAACCTGAACTAACATTAAGCTTTAAAGAAACTAGTGATTTGATTCAGGTTCTTCAGAAATAGTCACTTAACACAGCTTGATTCCTTGTGCATTTAACCACGGGGTGGGGGTGGGAGGCAGGGGAGAACCCCAAGCAGGAAAGGAGCCCAGGGAAAAGCAGCCCCTCGCCCGCCCCGTGGCCGGCAACCCGCGCTGCAGCTGCTCGCAACCCGCCTGGGACTGCCTGTGCCTGCTCAGGACAGCCCCATGCAAGCTGCGAGCAGCTGCAGCAGGGAACGCTGGCCAGGGTGTGGGTGAGGTGCCACTTTTCCCCGCTGGCAAGCTGGGGGTCAGGGCTGTGCACTGCCCCCCGCCTGTACCACGGGGCTGAGGGGCACTAGGAGTGAGTGGCTGGGAAGCCAGCAGGAGCACAGGGCCCACAATGGTGTGTCCCGGGACTAGCGCCAGTAGGGCCCAGAGCAGGGCAGCAGGGGTACAGGGTCCTGGCTGGCAAGGACTCTATGGAGCTGGGCCAGCTCCCCCCTTTCCAAAAGAAAAGGCTGAGGGGGGATCTTGTGGCCTGTTATAAACTAGTTGGGGGGG